TTAGCAACTACCTTAAGTGATTATAAAAGAATATTGAAATAGGAGTCAAAAACCGTATGGTTATCTCACTGCTTGTGATCTTGAGCAAATAAATTTAATGCCCAATTTCATTTCCTGTATATAACGTAGTTGGATGATGCCTGAAATTTTGTGTACTTCTGAATCCTATAAACTTAGTGAAGAAGATTGTATAGTGAAATAATATGTATTTATTCCTTCCCTAAAGCACAATCTCCTAATTGCCCTTCTCTTTCCACTGACTGTTGTCTGTTCTGTCAGCCTTCTTGCTCTAAGGTCACTTGCAGAGCCTGGGGCCCAGACTCTGGGCACAGGATAAACAACCTAGGGTTGCATCCCAGGGACAACAGGGATGCCTCACTGTTCTAGCACTGACAAGGATTGTTGGGTTATTTGTTTCAAATATTAACTTGTGTGTCAGGTCCTCTAGTTTATTTTATCTAAAATGTAGGAGTTCTTAGTGAGCTTTTTATTTAGCTCTTTGCAGTAACAATAACTCCCAATACTTTTAGATCAGTCATTCAAAAGTTTGGTAAGAGGGCTGGGAATGTGGCTTAGTGATTAAGTGCTTGTCTAGCATGCATGAAGCCCTGGGTTCGATTCCTCAGTACCATATAAACAGAAAAGGCTGGAAGTGGCTTTGTACCTCAAGTGGTAGAGTGCTAGCCTTGAGCAAAAGAAGCTCAGGGAAAATGTCCAGGCCCTGAGTTCAAGCACCAGGACTGACAAAAACAAAAAAAAGTTTGATAAGCACACATTCATGCATTCATGTGGGAACTATGAGAGAAGCAATATGTATGTGTTTTGCTGTAATATGACAACATACTTGACATAAACAAATTAAAAAGATAGAAAACTTAGTTTGATCCCAGTGTTCTGAGGTTTCTTGTCATTGCAGGGTAGACATGACAGAGCAGAGATAGATCCCATGCTAGCTCATGAGACAGTTTTATAGGAAAGATTTATCAACTGCACATAGGACAGGTTGGAGATAAGACATTGAGTGAGATAAAGTGTCATTTAGGACTGGCACCCTTCCTCAGTATGGGCATAACATTACATTTCTACATGAAGCTGAATACTAGAGAATGGAAAGGGTACTTTAAACTCTGTTGTGTCGATTAAGGTTTCCTCTACACACACTCCTTAATAAAAATTTCAGGGAACTTCATTTAAGTATGACTGTTGAGGGATTTGGTTACTGTTCTTAAGTTTTTGTCTTCCATATAACTTGTATTAGTAGAAATATTATTTAGGGCTACAAAAAGATTGAATATCGGATGGCACATCTTGCCATACGTATTTAGAGATATCTTTGTGCATCAGATATAATTAATGGAATAATTTCCTAGATCATATTTAGGTTTTCTGCAAAAACATCAATGAAGAAGCCAATTCATTCATAATTGTTTGAAGAATTCAAAGATCATTTATTTAGAGTGTTCATATAGTCCTAAAAGAAAAATATTGTACCTCCTTTACACTGTTCTTCATTCTTCAATCTTACTTATAAAATTGTGTGTGTGTGTCTTTTATAGGATTGTTAAGAAACAGGAAAGTGAGATAAAGTAATAGCATAATGCTTGTTTTTTCAGTGGTTAGTAAATTTTAATTCTTCTGTCCTCCTAGTCATTTACTCACACATATGCTCATATATACATTTTCTCTCCCTCCCTATCTCCCCCTTTTCCCTCTCCTCCACTCCTCTTCCTTTTCTCTGTCCCCTAGTCTGGACTACTCTAATATTGTGGAGATGATTTTTGTATGATTATTTCCAATCCGATTAACAAAATAGTAACTTTTCTTTTCCCCTGAACATACCCAGTTCTAATATTTTGACTGAAGTGTAACTCAGGTTTAATGACTTAATATATTTTGTCCTAAACCTTTGCATGTGCTTATTCAGTACTATTAATTCTGTTTTAAAGAGTTTAAGTTAAAATAGCCAAATGTTCAAGATTGTTTTGTTTTGGTCATATTCTCTCTCTCCCCCCCCCCCCCCCCCCCTTTCTGTTGTGCCATTCATGGAGCTTGAACTCAGTGTCTGGGCACTGTCCCTGAGCTTTTTTTGCTCAAGGCTATAGCTCCACTTATGTCTTTTTTGGGGGATACTTTATTGGAGATAAGAGGCTTAAGGATTTTCCTGCCTCATTGGCTTCAAATCGCGATCCTCAGATCTCAGTCTCCTGAATAACTTGGAATATAGGCATGAGCCACTGGCACCGGGCTGACAGTTCAGTTTTTAGTCATGTACTTTACTCTTTTGATCTTTTCATACTTAGTTCAACAAATGACGCTCACATCTTTGAATTTATTAGCTGTTTTTATGAAGTTGAATTTTGAAAGCTAAAATTAAACTATTTTATCTCAGCTTTTCTACTTTTAGGATTATGCAGTCAAATGCCAATTCCAAATTGAGTAAATATTCTTACCTATTCTAGCTTTTTAAGAATTTTGTTGCTAATTATATTTACTATCTAAAATATTCTTGAAATAATAAATTTTATCATCCAGCAGTAGGATAATATGAATGTAGAAAGTAGGGTTTATCAGTATATGTTTATAGTAATTAATGTGTGAAAAGGGTAAAAAGGTAAACTTAAAAAACTGACAAAAAAGAAAAAATGACTGGTTAAAATTTACAACAGCATCTGAAGAAAATAAACATACTTTAAAAAGAAAAGCTGAAAGGTTATGATTCAGTAGGCCCTCACATTGCTAATAGAGATTTGTCCTTGGTTTCCATAATGCTGCCATTAAAGAACACAAGGACTTAAGAGATCTAAATTCTAGTCCTGGTTCTTGATGTCGTGTCACCTTGGAGAATTCAATTTACTTACCTGAGGCTCTAATTCCTTATCTGTAAAATGTCAACATTGGACTAGGTGATTTTTTTTTTTTTTAACCTAAAATTCCATATGTTTTGGTGAAACAGTTCCTGTTAGAAATTTGCAGCTGAGCTGACTTTAGGACAGAGGGGTTTGGGTAGTAGAATTTAAGCTCCCTGGGGCTAGTCTTCTCTGTCCTATTCACTGTTGTATCGCTGGCAGCTACCACTGTGCTCACCACATAGTAGGCACACAGTAAGTATTTGCTGAACAAATTTTGTGAAAAGCTGAATTTTGGTGGTTGATTATGGAAGCATCTATAGAAAATGTGTATTTGAAGAAAGGAGATGAGTGAATTCTAAAGGAACAAATAGGCAGTTTTCTAATCTCTATTTTGTCATGGATTTGGAGAAAGTAACTGCAGCTAGTGGCGTTCTCATTGTCACAAAACTTAAGTAGAATTGGATGCTGGTAGCTAATACCAATAATGCTAGTTACAAAGGAGGCTGAGATCTGAGAATCATCGTTTGAAGCCAGCCCAGGAAGGAAGTCTGTGAGTTTCTTATATCCAGTTAGCCAACAAAAAGCTGGAAGTGGATCATCTGTGACTAAATAGTAGAGAATCCAACCTTTAGCGAAAAAGCTAGGGACAGCACAAGACCCTGAGTTCAAGCCCCAGTACTGATGAGCGTGATGCTCATCTCTCTCTCTGACTAAACCAACCTATAATGCCAATTTTCAGGTATCTCTCAGTGAAGTCTTCATTATTGTTTTTAAAGCTCTATCTTGTTATACCAAAGATAGAGTTCAAGCCCCAGTACTGACGAGTTCAAGCCCCAGTACTGATGAGCGCGATGCTCATCACACACACACACACTCTCTCTCTCTCTCTCTCTCTGACTAAACCACACACACACTCTCTCTAACTAAACCAACCTATAATGCAGAAGTTTGAGGTTGCCAATTTTCAGGTATCTCTCAGTGAAGTCTACATTATTCTTTTTAAAGCTCCATCTTGTTATACCAAAGATAAATTTTGCAAAGATGACTGAGAGAAAATATTCATTCATTGCCTATGTAGTATTCTAGTCCATTTGTTTAGACTAGGTCACAGTCTAAACATAGACCCAAAATTAGACAAAAGAAGAAAAAAAATCACCTTAAATTCTTAGCACTAAAATCATCTACTTACTGATGGATTCTTACTCTGTTTTAATTTTTATTTAACCACAGTTCAAAATAAGTTTGGTTAGTCAGTATACCATTTTTCAACAGATTAGGAACAGAAAACACTAAAAGTTTCATTGGGAAGCTAGAGACAGGAGGCATTTATAGATAGGATAATAACAACTGACAGCTTTACATTCTTCAAGAAATAAAAAGGAAAAATATGTGTGTAAAACTATAATAATTCTGGATCTTTAAGAAAACTATTTCTTATCTGAATAAACATTAAAAAATAAATTATTCAATCTAATTCATTTTTATAAAGTTTCAGAACTTGTAAAGTTTTTTAAACTTGTAAAAATGACACCTGTATTAAGCACATCTACCCCTTTAGCCCAAAATACTCCTAAAAATATACAAGATCATTATACCTTAAAATCTATTTATATCTTAATTTTTTGTCTCATCTATACCAGATGGGGCTTTTTAATGACTGCTGGCATTATGTTAATAAACATAACATTGAAAAATACATATTCATAATAGACTTTCTAAAGTGCATTTGAAAGGATTAAATAGTGAAGTTGCTTCAGCAATGTGAGGGTGAATGCTTTTTCTGTGTGCAGCACACACAATTGCAAAATTTCTTAAAGGCATATTTGTATGTACAAATTTTGCAACTATGCCCTTAATAAATTTGAAAACACTCATTCATAATATTATAACACTTTGTTACAATCCTTGACAAACATAATTTGTTGTAAAATAGAAATATGAAAAAGTAATACAAAAGATATTTAAAATCATAAATTTTGGGGTAGAACTTTTTTTGTTAAAATTAGAGTCCATTTGGAGTAAACTGAATATGTCCACTTAAAATATGCATATTAAATCATTTAAAATGTTTTAAATTGCCAACTCCAGAAGATGGATATCAATTTCATTCCTGATGGCAATGAATTTCCTTCTTCTGAATTTTTTTATTAGGTGCACTAGGCCTTCCAATGAGGGGGATGAGCAACAATACCCCTCAGTTAAATCGCAGCTTATCACAAGGCACTCAGTTACCGAGCCACGTCACGCCAACAACAGGGGTACCAACAATGTCACTTCACACGCCTCCATCTCCAAGCAGGTATTTATTGATGGACTATCACAATGTATCTTTGTAGAGTAAGCAAGCTTGTAGTTTTTTAATAAGGTAATTATTTGATTTTTCTGGCACAGTACCTTTCACTAGAAAAAAAAAACCTATGCTTATTTAAATTTGTTGCTAGTTGATAAGTATGGTGCAAGATGTTTTTTATCATGCAACTAGTATACTAGTTGGTCACCTGAGTGGATCAAGGTTTAATTACCTCCTGGGAAAGTTTTGCAAAAACTTCAAGTAATTCTAATCCTTGATCCCTCACCACACCACACATTCATTGCTGTACTGAAAATAAAATAAATGACATAGATTATGCATATTAATATGGAAAAATTAGAATGACATGAATTTTGAATGAAATTATTCAAAGTGTATATGTGAAATACATTTGTAATTTAATAGTCACACTAATGGTTCTCTCACTTTAGATAGCGCTTTAGTTCCACTATAATTTGCCCATTTTAATTTTGTTTTTTTTTATTTTAATTTTTTTATAGAAGATGACTTAATGCAGGAATCCAATAAAAAGTAGGAATTCAACTTGAAAATATATTTGAGATTCTAGGATTAGATCAAATATTTGTAGAGAATTTTAATGAGTGATTGTAGAGAGCTTATTTAGTATAATGGACTTCTTTTTCAGGGGTATTTTGCCTATGAATCCTAGGAATATGATGAACCACTCCCAGGTTGGTCAGGGCATTGGAATTCCTAGCAGGACAAATAGCATGAGCAGTTCAGGGTTAGGTAGCCCCAACAGAAGCTCGCCAAGCATAATATGTATGCCAAAGCAGCAGCCTTCTCGACAGCCTTTTACTGTGAACAGGTAAGATGTTTCTTGATACTGTGTATAATTGTCTTTTGGGATATCCTTAGATTTTCCTTTTCGTATTCCACACTTCGTTCTTGAGTCTTGGCTTCTGTCTCATAAGCGTGTTTCATTTCATATTTGTATGCAAAGACCCTGTTAAACATTGCAACTTAAACACTCCTGAATCTAAAAATATTTTTTATTAAATAAGTGTAATTTTAGAAAGCACATTAAATTTTTGTGTTGTTAGAAAGGGATCGTTCTTAGGTTGGCACCAGAAAAGTTTTTATTAATATGTCTTCCTTTTTTAAATGAGGTTGGTCACCTATGTTTGTAAGAGTTCTAGGTTCATGAATAGGACTGGAAGGAGCCATGTTTGACTATCTTTATGTAGTTACACTTTGGTTAAACACTTTCTCAGATAAGATACAGTTTGTGCTATGGATACTTACTAACCAGAAATTTTTAAAGATCATGTATGAAGTGCTTAAGCACAATGTTGTGTATGAAATTCAAAACAATAATGAGCTGTTTTGCTTTTTCAAACTCTCTTTTGTACTGTTCATTGCATATACTATATAAATAATTGGCCATTTTGATAATATTTTCAAGCTATTTGGTTAATTTGTATAAAAATTATTCCTAAAAGTTTTCTTGAAAAACACCATTTAAGCTTGATATACAGATATACACACATGTGTGTATATACATATATATGTATTTTTTAAATGGGGACTATAAGAAGGAAAAGGCCTGTTCCAGATGTCATTGTTTACTCATTTACTTTCTTCTATATAGTACTTGTAAAATCTGTGTTAAAATAAGTTATAGTACATTTCCTGTTCAGTCCATATCCCATAGACTCCCAATTTTCTATCCATGAGTATTTCTTCAATAATTTTATTGCTTAGTATTTAAACTTTTTTGTAAATAGTTATCAAAATCTCATCTTGATAGCTTCCTAATTGCATAATATTGCTCGGGCAATATTATTTTTACAGTTTTGCATTATTCATTGAACGTATAAATTTTTGCCTCTCCATTTTTTCACATTTTACTTTCTTTTTAAAAGTCAATTGTCAATATAACATGAATTTCTAAAGCCCTCATTATTTGTTATTGATGAATTATAAATAAATGTTTTTGCCTCTTAGCATTTACTCTTATGTTTAAGGGTCCCTTTGTCTTCAGTAGTTCAAATGTGATGTTAAATACTTATTTTCATTTACTTACCTACTTTCTTCTAGAGTATTGTTTACCAACTGCATATTATATCAAAAAGTTCTACAGATTTAGGCTGAAAGCTACAAAGAGTCTTCAGACAGTTTAACCATGCTCAACACTAATAAACTGTCTTTTTACAGACAATTATTTGATATTAAAGATATATAGTCTCATTTTAGAATCTACATTAACAGTCTATTGACACACTTAATTGTTTGGCTTTGCTTTAAGTTCAGCCTCATTTTTTCCTTGTCATGCTTGTTGGGCTTGAGTGATAAGAGGGAAACAGTATCAAATATGCCCTATTCCAGAATTGAGAATATTGAAGAGAGATTATTAATGTGTTATAGAACACTAAATTCAGTTAAGGAAAAATATTTGATTCAGGTCAGTGTAACATTTATTGAGTGCCTCATATCTTGAATACTTAAAAGCAGAGGATGGAAGGACGGATAGCAGCACATGGACTCTGTCAATGAGGAGTTTATAGTTCAATTGGTAAAGTTGTAAAGTAATAGCATGCTTCAACAATAAAGCAAGGAAAACCAAGTATGCTTGAGATTAGGTACATCTAATATCTGATACGGTGGTTCACCAAGAGTATAAAATGGTACCCTTAATTCTGTTTACTTCTCGGTTCATATAAATTCCTTGTATTATAATCTGTTTAAAGTACTTTGGTTCTCACTCATGAAAATACTCTAGAGAAGTAAAGATTAAACTCAGAAAAATAAAATTAGTATTGATTTTGAAACCTATTATTGTTTTGTATGAGGAGACCAAAAGTTTACACTTTTGTTTCTCTTCATCTCAAAGTTAGTGTTCTTACTGTATATCTAAAATTATTTTCTATGTACCCAGTATGTCTGGATTTGGAATGAACAGGAATCAGGCATTTGGAATGAATAACTCCTTATCAAGTAACATTTTTAATGGAACAGGTAAGCTTATTCTGGAGCTAGTACCCTGTAAAAACAATATGGTAGATTTCTGAAATATGAACAATTCAACACACTGGTCTTTATTGTAGGAATTTTTTGTTGTGTGAAATGGTAGAATTTAGTGAAAATTTATCAGGAGTAAGTTTTAATTAAATAAATAATAGAGATAAATTTTTTCACCTGGCCTAGTAATAGGATAGTGATTGGTGTTACAGCAATAGAATTATTTTCTTAACATGTAGTGAGAGCAGATCAACTTTTTCTATCCTCAGCCCTTTCCCTGTGAGAAAAATAAGTTATTTGACTTGTATGCCATTCTGATTATAGAGATCCATAGTGAAGAAAGTGTTTACAGCTGCATGAAAACACTTACAATTTAATAGTTCTAATACTAATTTTGGCATTTAACCCTTATGGATTTTGATCCAGCTTTATGCATATGATTCAGAATTGTGTATGTGAAAAATGAATTGTGATTTTTGAAAACAAACTGTCTTCAGCCTATTGGTTTATTTCTTTTATCAACTGCTTCAGAGAGAAGTGAATAAGGAGCAATAATGCTGCTTTGTTGTGAGTTTCACCTGTTTCCAGACACTTTTCTGAGAAAAGAAGTGAAGGATACTAGGATTATTAGAGCCAAACTGAGTGGGATTATTGAAATATATGTATATGTATATGTACATACACATAGATGTATGATATGTTAGATGAAAAAAATTGAGATGAAGTATATGTTAAAAGCATGAGAAGTGTGTGTTAAAAGCTGTGGGCTTTTAATTTCTAAATGTTAATGCATGTTTAACAGCATATGTTGATTAAACAAGATTAAAACATTTGAAGAGTTCCGAATTTCAGCGTTCAGGATGTTAAAATACTACAAAGTAATATCGTTGTTTTGATTTTTTTTTTATATTTTAATGTTTGTGTACTCAAACTGCATACCACAGTAAAATTGGAAACTTGTTTGTGTATGTGTGTGCCAGTACTGAGTCTTGAACTCAGGGTCTGGGCACTGTCCCTGAGCTTTTGTGCTCAAGGGTTGCACTCTACCACTTCAGCCTCAGCTCCCCTTCCAACTTTTTTGGTAGTTAATTGGAGGTAAGAGTCTCACAGACTTTCCTGTCCCTGCTGGCTTTGAACCACAATCCTCAGATCTCACTCTCCTGAGTAGCTAGGATTATGGGTATGAGCCATAGTGCCCAGCTAAATTGAAATTTTTTTCCCAAATGTAAAGGAAATAAAATGTATCTGACAATGTTGTCATAGATTTTTAATTATGGTTTTATACATAGCTACAGAACTTTATAATGTAAGAAGATTATATTTTAACTAAATATATTTTATGCATAAAAATTATTTTCAATTCTTTTCGTTAAAGTATAAATTTGGGGTCTCATTAACTTTTTTAGGTTAAGATGTATTCAGCACCTGTCTTGGAGTGTTACTAGGGTCTTGTTTATCAAACAAGTAATCTTGAGAGTCTTTTCATTATGAAATAATGAAAATAAAATTAATTGGAAAATGGCAGAATGATTCTAAGAGATGAGGTGGGGCAAAGATTAAACGAAAGCTATACATGGACTAAACTGTAGGTTAAAAATTAGGTTCTTGAAACATTAAGATAAAAGTTTGAGAGTAGCAAAAGTTGAGGGGGGGAAAAAGAGATAATTGAAATAAGTCAAAGTTGAGAATTTGGCTTAAAATGTTTCTATTTTTTTTTTAAACCAGGCTGATTTTAAATGAATAAAATAAAAAAATGGTTTACTCAGTTTGTATTTATTGAGCGCCTACTGTGTAATAGGTAATAGAAATTTATCCATTTTGTATATCACATTCCCCACCACCTCTCCAGATTTGGGAGTTCTACCCCAACTTCTACCCCTTTTTTTCTCTATTACTCTCCCTCCCAACATACACAATCATACATACTTGTCTATGTAACTGACAAGTTTCCACTATCTATGCCTTTGCATTTTTCTGGCCATTTTCAGGAGATAATGTCATTGTCTTATCTCCAGAAGCTCCAAGCAGACCAGATAAAATGAAAAGAGAAGTTATATTCCAACAATTTACCTCTTGTTAGCAGATAAGCTATAATTTTAGATTGTCATCTTTACTGTGATATAATATACAATCTTAACTCCTTATTCTCTATTTAATCTCTAAGATTTGGGGTTTTAGATATGTTGGTTGCATATTGCTTTCTTCAGCTGTTAGGAAATTCTTAGGAAGTCAATCCACAGGTAGCTTTTGAGCACCTACATACAACTACTATGGTGTTCTGTTATTTAGGAAGAAGGCACTGTTGCTTCAAGTTATTTTGCAGTTATTTTTACAGTCTTTATTTTAAATGTTTGTAGAATCAGTAACTAATATTTATTCTTATATTTAGATGGAAGTGAAAACGTGACAGGATTGGACCTTTCAGATTTTCCAGCATTAGCAGACCGAAACAGAAGGGAAGGAAGTGGTAACCCAACTCCATTAATAAATCCCTTGGCTGGAAGAGCTCCTTATGGTAATTAAGCTTTATTGTGATAGCTCATGGAAAGTCGCAGTTGCATGGTCCTCCTCCCCACATATTTATTTGTGCTTTCTACTTAGTTTTTGTCATAGTATTGATTTTTTCCCCTTGATTTTCATAATAGAAACGTTTAATGGTAAAACTGTACCTAAAAAGTAGTTAGTTTTCATTGGTATTTAGAAAGTTATTTTCTTCTGGTATTTCTTAGTTTACCTTAACTGATTTATTTTGTGGCATTTTCTATAATTTTGCAAATATTGTTTTTGAAAAAATACATTCCCAGTGATTTATATTAACTGTATATAGAAGATGTTTCTCTCAGCCAAAATTTCTCAACATTCACACTATATTGAAGCTGGTATTTCTTTGTCGAGAAAAGGGGTATGGTGGGTAGAGGGAGTCTATACTCCTTACATAGAATTTTAGCAGCATTCCTTGCTTTCTCCTACTAGATGCAGCACCCTATACTCCACCCTCCATTATGACACAGATGTCTCAAGACATTGGCAGATGTCCCCTGGCAGAAAAATTGCCCCCTCTTGAGCACCACTGCTCATGAGTTATATATAGTTCTTGCAGATGCTTGATGATCAGTATATCTTTCATTGCCATTTTTATAATCTCTAATCGATAAGGTGTTTGGCTAAATAAAAATAATGAGAAGGGACCATATGCAATAACAGTACAAAAATTTAGACCTGAAAATCTCTGATGACAAAGTAGTCATTACTCTTTTTAAGCACATAATCATTTCCTTTGGGGAAGACCTGATAGAGATAATAGCAGAATAGTACTTGGAGGGATCAGCCATTCTAAAATAGGCATAATATTTTTCCCATTGTCAGCAATGAAGGATTTATTTGCCTTTCAGATATATTAAGGAAAAATTTTATTTAAATTGCCAAATTAGTCTTCCTAAAACAATAAAAGATAATCTTGTACTTGAAGTTGAGCTACTACTCCTCAGTTAAGACTACAGTGTTTTGAGCTTTCCCTCATAGGTTTGTTTTTTCATCCTTTTAATCATTTCTGTTGCTCTCCTTGGAATATCTCTAGTTTCTCCAGATTGTTCTTGCATTGTGGAGCCGCAACTAATAAGAGCCTGACTAATGACAAGTGTAATGGGAGAATTATTTCCCAGTTCTCATATACTTTACATGCATAACATAGACTGTTAAGAAGATCCAAAATAAAATGAATTGTTTTGTAATTTATTGCAATTTTTCTTGCTGTACATTACTTTGAAATAGAATACTAACATTTTCTTTTACAAGTTGTTCTGCCTATTTTTATTAGACAATTAGCTGGTGTTTATAATAGGTAGTAAGATATTTAGTGCAGTTTAGGTGTAAAAATTATTAATGGCTTATCTGAACTTTTTTTCACAACATAGTTGGAATGGTAACAAAACCAACAAATGAGCAATCCCAGGACTTCTCAATACACAACGAAGATTTTCCAGCATTACCTGGTTCCAGCTATAAAGATCCAACGTCAAGTAATGATGACAGTAAATCTGTAAGTAACTGAGAATCATGTATGTGAGTGATATAGTTTTCTTCCCTTCATACTTCTCTTATATTAACAATTACTTACTAAATAATATTATAAAACTGTTTATCTTATGTATGTGTAATAATATTCTAACGTCTGAAGAATGTGGAAAAGCTTTAACTTAGAAGATAGCTATTTTTTTCCTATTTCATATAGGTTTGCAAATTTCTGTTGAACTTCTCAGAGTTAATTTAGACTTTTATTGTAGTCCCTGTCAGCTGGATCCCATGAAGTTTGATAATATAGACTTCTAAGGAGCTGTGTTTTTCTTGAGTAAGTTTTCTCCTTGAAGAATCTTTATACACATTTTTATACCTGTGTTGATTCAGCCAACTCAGCTTCTTTCTGACTTAACAAATGTGTTTATTTCTTCCACATTTACTGAAAATAGCTTTTTGTGTGTGTGTGTGTGATGGGAGTTTGTATATTATTAAAATAAATCATAAAGATAATTGGGTAAGAATTTTTAAAAGTATGAATTTTGAAAGTACATACATTCCTAGCTTATTTTGGAGATTATTCTCTTAGGTGTTATACATTATACTATGTGTAGTTCTTCTTTTACTTAAAAACCTTGAAGATGTAATTTAAAGTGTGTCCCAAAGCAGAAAGCCCTAAGTGCAAAAGATGACTTATTTTTTTCCTCTCACTTAAGATCTGAGATAAAAATATTCCCCTCTAATTCTCTCCTTTACATGCTAAAATGTAGTAATACAGAGTTTATTTATATATCATGTATCAAGTATCAGTTTTCACATAGAACTTGAAAAACAGGTAATAGCTTAGTACCAATTTAAATATAATGAAGAGTTGATAGCAAAGCATTAATGTATAAACTTGAATTTATATACTTAACACATTCTAATGTCACATTTAATTTTTTTCATATTAGAATTTGAACACATCTGGCAAGACAACTTCAAGTACAGATGGACCCAAATTTCCTGGAGATAAAAGTTCCACAACACAAAATAATAATCAGCAGAAAAAAGGGATCCAGGTGTTACCTGATGGTGGGACTTTATAAAATATATCAAAGATATTATATAACATATTTTTTCTACTTTTCCTCAAAAATAAAAATGACTCTTTTTTTAACTAGGTCGGGTTACTAACATTCCTCAAGGGATGGTGACGGACCAATTTGGAATGATTGGCCTGTTAACATTTATCAGGGCAGCAGAGACAGATCCAGGAATGGTACATCTTGCTTTAGGAAGTGACTTAACAACATTAGGCCTCAATCTGAACTCTCCTGAGTAAGTTGGTTTTTCCTTCCTTCCACTTTTGAATGTAACATTTGAGATAATGAATCTCAGACTTGTACTTTTTTTTTGGTTTGTTTTGATATAGGATCACACTATGTAATCCAGTCTAACTTTGAACCCTCTTGCCTCAGCCTCCTGAGGGCTGGAATTATAGACAGAAATGCCATTCTGTGCAGAGCCTCAAACTTCATTTTTTTTTTAATTTAATTTTTTTTTTATTTTTATTTTGCTGGTCCTGGGTGATGTCCCTGAGCTTCTTTTGCTCAAAGCTAGTCCTCTATCACTTGAGCCACAGCATCACTTCCAGATTTTTCTTAGTAGTTTATTGGAGATAAAAGTCTCAAAGACTTTCTTGCTCAGGCTGGCTTCAAACTGGGATCCTTCAGTGCCTGGCAAACTTCAGTTTTTAGTTTCATGTCATCAAATTCTATCATCTGCTGTTGCTACTCAATGTTGTTATCAGCTTAGTCTTTGGATCCTTCCTTTTTATATTAATCTCTACATGATTTTTATTCTGAAACTATTCTTTTGTAATTTTGCAGTTTGAATATACACATATATGAGCTTTGCAAAGTCCTGAAATCTTGATTCATTGAATTTCTTTTCTCCAATAATTTAGTCTTTCATCATACATCAGCTACATACATCTTTAGTCATCCTTTGATCTTATCATTACTGGTAACTACAGTCTCCATGGTTTTAAGTTAATGCTGCCATGCTGTCTGCTTGCCATCTGTTCTTCAGACTATGACTTTTGTGCTCACTGAATTCCTTTGGTATCTTTTAATCCATTGATTCTTCTACTTTTCAATGTTCCTTAGCATCCCTGTCTCTCTCTCTCTTCCTCTTCAATGTACTTAAAATAATGTTAATTATTTATTTACATATGCCTTTAATACTTTGTCCTTTGTCATACTTGCATGGTAAAATGTATAACCCTAGTTATAGCTTGACAGCTTTATTGCTTGGTCTTTTCTTCAGATTCTTGATTTGGAATCTCAGAATTTGGGCCTTAATAGTGCCAAGCATAATCATACTTGGTATGCTGACTTGTTCTTTTTTTGGGGGGTGGGGTGCTTGAACTCAAAATCTGGTGCTTTCATTCACAAGCTGGTTCTGTGTCTCCTGAGCCACATCTCTAGCTCCCCATTCACTCTTTTAGTGTTCCATGCAATTGTTTTCCACTTCTGGAACCCCAAGTACCTTCTATTCTTGTCCTTTCTATCTGATAAAAGCAGTTAGAATATCAGCATAGGTCTGCCCACTAAATCTTCATTTACTATGGCTTCCTCCTCTTCTACTTTATTACCATTGTTGATCCACATTTTGTACTTAAAACCTTTCTTGAAAACTCAAGAACATGACTCAAAACTGTTTTCACAGTCTGGTGTAGGATTTTGATTAGCATACGAAGATGTGATCTTTTTTCCCTACTTATTAAAAAATACCTTCTTGATCCGACCTCCAACCTCCTCTATGAATTAATACCTCATTTCTTCTCTTCTGAAGCAAAACACCTCAAAAGAATCCACTCAGTTCCTCCAGTTTATCTTCTCATTCTGTTTACCAATTCAATCTGAATTTTGCCCCCACCACTTCAATTAAAAACTTGGGGTAACAAGGTCATGAAATGGCTTCCATATTATTAAAATCAGTGTTTGCATTAAAAGATCCATTTCTTCCTCCTCACTTGTATATAAGAACACTACTCTTACCTGATTTAACTGGTTGATCTTGTCAGTTTTCCTTGCTGAAACTCTTCTTTTCTTCCTGACTTCTTTATGTTAACATTTTTCCATATTTATTCCCTTGATGTTCATGTCTACTCTTGCAGTTTTAAATACCATAGATATTGAGACTCCTAAACATGTATTTCCATTGCAGTGTTCGCTCTTCTAAATTTGGTATTTCTAGGTATTTCCCTTGCCTTGAACAGAAGCCTTATGTCATTTTTAACTCTCTACTTTGTCTAGTCTTTTCCTAAAATACAGAATCTAATCACATTGACTCAATGGCTACCATTCTTGTTTGAATCATGATGCTCTATTTAAGCTGGATATTCTCTTAGCCAATCACAAGGTATCACTAGTTCTCCCAGTTTTGTCATTTCACACCCAGAACCTATGTTTTTCTTTTTTTTCTCAATGCCCAGTAAGGATTTGAGGTTCCATTATTAAAAACATCAATTTTTTTACAATCCTACAAGATCTTACATGGGGAAGATCTGTCTCCTGCAATACTTTTACAGCTTTTCTCTTTATTTACTATGTTCTAACTTCAACTGTCCTTCTTGCTATCCCTCAGATGTCAGTCGTGTCTTTGTCTTAGTTTCTAGCATGTCCCTTTCATCAAATTAGTCTTCTACTGGATTATCTGCCTCATATCCTTGATTATTTTGGTTCACATCTAACCACCTCTATGAGACCTAAACAGACCATCTTTCCTAATTATGCAGCCAGTTTTCCCTTCCAGACTTTCCCCTAATACATGTTTATGTATTAAGCTAATTGTCTACCTTCATCCAATCATCCATACTTAACCAGAAATTTCTGTGTTGCTAGCAATCTTTATTTTGCTTATTTCATGTGTTCTAAACACCTGGAACAAACAGTTCCTGGAATATATTCGGAACTCAGTAAATATTTGATGAATCTGAAATTTTGTTCCTAATTACTGATTTAGGAAGTGGGGTCACACATAAACGGGAAAGTAAGGTAATTTAGCATAGAATTGATGAATTTTTTTTTTTTTTGGGTCCAGTCGTGGGGCCTGAACTCTGGGCCTGGGCGCTGTCCCTCAGCTCTTCAGCTCAAAGCTAGCGCTCTACCACTTGAGCCACAATGCCACTTCCAGCTTTTTTCTTTTTGCTTATGTGGTGCTGAGGAATCGAACCCAGGGCCTCATGCATGCAAGGCAAGTGCTCTACCACTGAGCCACCTTCCCAGCCAGAATTGATGAATTTAAAGCATTCTTAATTCTTAAGTCAATTAAGAATAAAAAATTTAAACTGTGGGGCTGGGAAGGTGGCTCAGTGGTAGAGCACTTGCCTTGCATGCATGAGGCCCTGGGTTCGATTCCTCAGCACCACATAAGCAAAAAGAAAAAAGCTGGAAGTGGCACTGTGGCTCAAGTGATAGAGCGCTAGCTTTGAGCTGAAGAGCTGAGCGACAGCGCTCAGGCCCAGAGTTCAGGCCCCAGGACCAGACACCACCCTCCCCCCCCCCAAAAAAAAAATTTAAACTGTATGCTTTGTATATTTTGATATTTATTGTATTGGAAGAATACTGCAGTACAATATATAGTAATAGGTAGGGTGTGTGTGTGTGTGTGTGTGTGTGTGTGTGTGTGTGTGTGTGTGTGTGTGTGTGTGTGTGTGTGTGAATACATGTATATGGTTAGCTTCTGGGTGTGTGTGTGTGTGTGTAATACATGTATATGGTTAGCTTCTGGGTGTGTGTGTGTGTGTGTGTGTAATACATGTATATGGTTAGCTTCCTGAGTAAACCCAAGAAAGGAAGCTAGAAGTAAAAATGTTCATTTTTGCATTTGGAGTCTGTTTTTCATAGTTTTCTTTATTCATTTTGTATTTGGAGTCCGTTTTTCATAGTTTTCTTGATAGAAAGTAAGAAGTTTGTTTTTCTGCTTTGGACTTCAGAGTGGCTTCTTTTCTTCCCTTATTCAGAAATCTCTACCCCAAATTTGCATCACCCTGGGCATCTTCACCATGTCGACCGCAAGACATAGGTAGGAGAATCTATTTGTGTTCAGAACTTTTAAAAAGATTTTTCTGAGAATCAGTTAATAAGGTTTTTTTCATTTTATTATCCAGACTTCCATGTTCCATCTGAGTACTTAACGAACATTCACATTAGGGATAAGGTGAGTGTAGTTTATTATTCTACTCAGACAGCATGAATTTTATCTATTTTTCAGATGCCGTTTCAAATTCAGAGTGCAAAATACTTTCTAAATAAATAGCAGTGGTCCCAGGGATATGTTTTTGTATGTTCATTCAATTATATATAGTGATTTTACTTCAATTTTTGTTTATGATCTTAATGTTTTGATTACTTGGTTTATATTTTTAAAATAAAAATATAAGAACAGATAAAATACTTTCTACAATTAATAAAAGGGTACAGTCATAACCACAGTTGATGAGAATAAACTATCTTGGAAGATTGACAGATTTTCTTTTCATTGCTTGCTCTTGTAAGTAATTTTTGTCAACATTATATATAGATGCAGTGTTAGTAATGACACAACCTTGACTTGTTTTTTTCCCATCATTTTAATTACTTACAGTTCTAATCATAAAGTAACTATTAATAGATTATTACTTTAATCTCTCTTTTTTTAACCTGAGAAAGAAAATAGGAAACAGTTTTTGCTTTACAAGGAAGAACTGATAAGGCAGTTTATTTCTGTGAAGAAAAATACATAATATCTGTATATTAGCCTAGGGAATAAATACAGTAAAAGCATTTATTACTTGTGCATATACAACAAGTACACATTTATAACTAAATTACAGCACTCTAATAATATGTTATACAGCTATATTGTCAAATAGATATATTGATATTGTAGATAGGCACAATATCAAGGTTATATCCACCTCAATGTGTCTTTAGTACCTGAGTAATGGGAGGCAAGAATTACAATAGAGGGAAGGCTGGTATTTTTTATTTGTGGATAGTATGGATTTGCTACCTCCTCTACTGTAAAATTCTTGTGCTGCCAGAACCTTTTCTTAGACCAATTTAAGAAATACTGGAGAGGGCTGGGAAGGTGGCTCAGTGGTAGAGCGCTTGCCTTGCATGCCTGAGGCCCTGGGTTCAATTCCTCAGCACCACATAAGCAAAAAGAAAAAAGCCGGAAGTGGTGCTGTGGCTCAAGTGGTAGAGCACTCGCCTTGAGCTGAAGAGCTGAGGGACAGCGCCCAGACCCAGAGTTCAGGCCCCACAACCGGACCCAAAAAAAAAAAATAAATAAATAAAAAAACAAGAAATACTGGAGAATTGGTTGTATTATCAACTGCCACATGAAAGGGTAAAAAAATTGTATTCAGAGAATGTGGAACAGCCAAACATTTAGATAGAACATCAGGTAAAAAGATATTTTGTTTGTGGATGCTCTCTAAGGTTTATTTTAACGTGAGAATTTGAGACTATTAAGCTCACCTACATTTTCTACCTTATAGAAGGAAATAAATAAAGTCATCTCCAATTTTTTTATTTACATCTGTGAATTGCTGGAAACATACAACTGATTTGTGAATCATTGTTGCACATTGATTCTTACCACCTTCACTTAACAAATTTCTGTGTATCTGACATTCTACTGGGATGTTTTCATATACTGTCACTTAATTTTATTTATTTTTTGAAATAATCCCCATAGTTGTCATTGTCTGCATTTACAGAAAAGTTCATAGATGTTAAATACCTTGAGCCTGGTCATATTTTTTTTTTTATTGTGAAAATACTGTACAGAGGGGTTACAATTACATGGGCAAGATAATGAGTTCATTTATCAAGCATTGTAGCCTCCTCCTTTGTTTACCCTTCCCAGCCTCCCCTCGCTCCTCCCCCCTCCCCCAGCCTGGTCATATTAATAAATAATAGAATTGGGATTTGAATACAATCCCTTAAAGTCAAGATTGTGAAATGACTTTAAGTCATTTAAGTAAACATTTTTAAAATTAGAACTATTTGTAATTACATAATAAGTTATCTGTTCTTAAATGAAGAGCTTATTTTCCACTTTTTGCTCTAGTAGTAACAGTCATATTTTAGGAATTTAAAATTTGTTTTACATTTGAGAATAATTTATTTTCTTTTCCAGCTGGCTGCAATAAAACTTGGCCGATACGGAGAAGACCTTCTCTTCTATCTCTATTATATGAATGGAGGAGATGTATTACAACTTTTAGCTGCAGTAGAGCTGTATGTTGAAAATATTTTATCACTTTATTATTATAGTGGATTTTTTTGTACAGTAAGAATTACCACCTGATATATTCCTTTAATTCATTCCTAAGAAGATACATTCATTTAGTCCCTGGTGCATCTATAATTGGGAGTTGTCTTATCGAATTCAAGTCTGTAAACTACCTTAGTGTATTGGTAGGAGGACATTTTATTTAAATATGGAGGTTTATTTTTGTAGGACACTTGCCTCCTTTAAATATTACTTCCCCAGTTTATAAAGTGGTATACTTCCTTATTGCTTCTTGCATGAATTCTCATATCCCCTTAGTTCCTGAGGATTTAGGAGCAATAAAGGTTTGAACTTATTTAATTCATTAAAATTTTCAGAATGAATATTCTGTTTTAAATAATGATAAAATTATGTGAATTTAAATATTTAATTCAAGTAGACTTGGTAGTTTTTTTAACCAGATAATACAAATAATTTGATTGTTGTTTTAATAAATGTTATCAGCTTTTATTGACTTTTTAGAGTAGCAAGAAATGAAGTTTCTAGAACATGACATGGTTTTTAATCATATTATTCATAAAACTTTTTTGGTGGGAGGGGTGTCAGTTATAGGGCTTGAACCCTGTCCCTGAGCTGTTGTACTAAAAAGGCTTTGAGCCACAGCTCCACTTCTGGTTTTCTGGTGATTAATTGGAAGAATCTCATGGATTTTCCTGTATGAGCTGGCTTCAAATGGCAATCATCAGACCTCAGGCTCCTGAATAGCTAGGATTACAGGCCTGAGCCACTAGTGCCTGGCTCATAGAAATTTTAAAATCTTATTTTGTTTGCATAGACATTTTCTTCAGCTGAATAAGGTGTGTGTATATTTCAATGGGATTATATTTAATAACAAGAGTCAGGATTATGATACCATCCATATTTATGTATTTTACCTATAATTTTTTTGAGAAAACTTATACAAAATCTTTTTTAAAGTGTATGTTGTGAGTCACAGGAAAAAAATAATCTTTCTTCTTTAAAAATTGAAGTTTTAACCGTGATTGGAGATACCACAAAGAAGAACGAGTATGGATTACCAGGGCACCAGGCATGGAGCCAACAATGAAAACCAATACATATGAGAGGGGAACATATTACTTCTTTGACTGTCTTAACTGGAGGAAAGTAGCTAAGGTATATTTTTTTCCATTTGCAAATGTATAAATGTTAGAATATATAAAAGAAATTGTTTATATGTCCAATACACCCATTCCAGTAATGTGTTAACTAATGTTTGATAAGTCTTTTGCTTCTACCTCCTTCACTGAATTTTTTTATTTCATTAGTAAGAAAATTATTCAATTAAGAGATTTTTTTTAATTTTGCATAAGTTTTGAAAACATACATAACATTTTTATATCTACTGAATAACAATAAAGGTAATCCAGTCATATCTTTTGATATTATTGCTAGTTAAATTGTACAAAGATAAGATTTTCCTAAAAGCAGTATATAGTAGTTGGCTTTTTACACTTCCAGTCATTGCAGGAAAAAAGTCTAGGTTTTAATTTGCAAATTAAAGAACATTTCAGACATTAGCTATTGACTAGTGATGTAGACTCTTTTACTAAATTTTGAGAGAAAAGGGGGCTTTGGAAAAAAATTACTTTGTTCTATTTTGCTTTTGTAACTTTGCTGACAAAATCTATTTTCCAACTACCCCATGTACAAATATTTCTTCAGTGTTTTTGTGTGTAGTACCTTGTGTTTTACTTGTAATCTAATTTCCACTAAAAAGTAAATATGTTCTCAGACCCTCTAATACATGTTTTTTTAGACATTATTTGAGAACCTGAATGTTCCATTCCTAAAGCAAATGAATCACACTTGTTTTTATTGGTTCATCAGGTGGTAATTACACTCCTTCTAGGGGCCCAGAACTATTCTAAACATTCAGACTGGTTACAGAGCTATATAGAACACTCTATAGAACATCCTATAGAACATTCAAGTGTATTTATGTGTTGTCCATGATTTATATATACATATAACCTCAGCATACAAAAGACATGTTATCAGTAATGAAGTTTAATAATATAAGGGAACAAGTAGGCACCAATGTGTTTTAAGCTTTAAATATTTTAAGGAGAATAAATATATATCAAAGACAAAGGTTTAAAATGAGTGAAAGTCAGAATTTGACCTGTATAATTTCTGGATCTGCAGTCAAATTTGTAGGGAAAGAATTTATACATTGATGAAGTTAATGTATTTAAATTCTAATAGTACAGCATGGTTTACCAGTGTAAATAAAATTGTTTATGTTACTTAGATAATAGAGCTAGTAATTTCTCAAGTTACAAAAGGCTTTTTACCCTTTGTACATTTTTGGAACTAAAAGAGCCAATTGTGTTTCAAAGGATGATTTAACAAGAAATTATTTTCACTGATTTCAATATTCAACTTCAAACAGTTTAAAAAATTTAATGCTTATATTACAGTGAGCAAGGATCAGTGCCAGCTACACAGCAAATTAGAAGTATAATGATGGTGGTGGTGATTCTGATGTTTGCTAGTTTTTACAGAGAGTAATCTTTGCTCTTTAATTACTTCAAAAATGATTTAAAAAGGTCAAAGTCACCATAGTGTACATTCTTTACTAATCTTTGTAAGGGGACTTAATTTTTACATTTGTGGATTGAGGTATAATAAAATCAATTTGTAGGGGGAGGGGAGTGCCTTAGGCTATAAATATTTCAAAAGTAATGTGTTACATAAGAAAAGACACAGCAGGGCGCCGGTGGCTCCTGCCTGTAATCCTAGCTACTCAGGAGGCTGAGATCTGAGGATCCAGTTCAAAGTCAGCCTGGGCAGGAAAGTCCATGAGACTCTAATCTCCAATAAACCACTAGAAAACCAGAAGTGGCAGTGTGGCTCAAGTGGTAGAGCGCTTGCCTTGCCTGAAGAGTGCAGGGACAGCGTCCAAGCCCAGAGTTCAAACCCCACGACCCACAAAAAAAAAAAAAAAAGACACAAGCCTGTTAAGGGTCTGTATCCTATTACTTAGTGTGCCATTGTTACATAACTTGGGCAAGTTATGTGTTGAGCCTACTTTCCTCTGATGTAAAGCCAAAGTAATATTTTCTGCTTTACAGAATTAATATATAGATAAGAATCATTACTAAATGACCCCATGCTGCTGACCACGTATATGGTATATATGTGCACATCGGAGGGAAACTAGGAGGACATAGACACAGAAACAGGGAAACGGGAAAACACAACAGCGGGACCCGTCAGCTGCACTGGTCATTGATCCAAATGAACTAAGCAACTCAATGGCAGCCATGGGAGGGAGGGAACGAGTGGGAAAGAGGGCACAGCTGTCACTAAGCAAAAATGTATATGTCACCCGATGTGGAAGAAATAACTATTGTTGTTAAAGCTCCTAGAACTCATAAGCTTTATAGACCACATTAAAGACAATTTGCCCCATGGGGGAGGGGGAGGAGACAATGTAGAGGTTTTGTCTAGCAAACCTAATGTTTGGGCTTCCTTGTGGAAAGCTTCTGTTCATTGCTTTTTTTAACTACAGATCATATCTTGCTTCTTTGCATGTTTTATATGTATTTTTTCATTAAAAACTTCATATAAAAAATAAAATTAGCTTTTTTATTAGACTTAAAAGTGTACTTGTTCAGTCTAATTGTTAATGTATCTTAATTTTTAATACCTGAATCTGTGTCAGACTCTTAAATATCATCGTGTTCTAGGTTTTTATTGTAATTTCATAATGAAAATTTTCATGTAATTTATTAATGGAAACATTTAGTATGAATGTTTGAAACTAGAAATATAGGGTAAAATACATCAGTCTATGGTTATTAATGTTACTTGTTTGGTCTTTAATACAAATAAGACTCATAAACCCATAACTGTGGCTCTATAGTAGTAGCTTTAAATTCACATTAGAGAATTAATAATTTTAACTGTATTTTTTTTGTCTTTTCTTTTTTGGTACTGGGGATCGAACCCAGGACGTTGCACTTGCTAGGCAAATGCTTTGCCACTGAGCTACATCCCAGCCTGAGAATTAGTAATTTTAAAGCATCATCTTTCAAGAGATTGGATTTGGTTTGGTTTGGCTTTTGCTGTTACTGAGTTTTGAACTCCCTCCTTAAACTTTCTAAACAGGCACTCTACTACTGAATCCCCCTTCCTGCCCATGCTGGCCTGGACTGAAACCTGCCTATTTCAGGCTTCCCATTTATGTGGGAGGACATATGCACACCACCACAACCAGCTTTTTCTGTTGAGAACAGAATCTGTTAGAGTTTTCTCCTGATTACAATGAACAGTCTAGTTAATCTTTCAGATATGCCTAAAACAAAACCACTGTCTAGTTTTCAATAGCAGATCAATTATATTTTAAGTCAGGATTTTGAGATTAAAATAATGGAAGTTCTGGAGATGTAGGAGTTTTAAGCTCATTATTTCCCTCAAATTTTAATGAGGTTAGAATATGTTTGATTTTTTAAGCAAATTGTGGAATATTCATTATAAACTTTTCATAAACTAAGGCAAATATTTAGATTTCTATACTTCACTAAAAGAGAAGTATCATTTGCTTGTTTTGCTGTTTCCGCGCTTGAACTCGGGGCCCCTGGGCACTGTCACAGAGCTTTTTTGTTAAAGGCTAACATTCGGCCACTTAAACCACAGCTTCATTTCTGACTAGGTTTTTATTGTTTTGTTTTTGTCTTTTTGGTCATAATTGGAGGTCAGAGGCTCATGTACTTTGCTGCTTTGGCTGGCTTCAAATCACAATCCTCAGATCTCAGCCTCCTGTTAGCTACAATTACAGGTGTGAGCCACTTGCACCCAGCAGAGACTGTATTTTATATATCCTGTCATTTTCAGTGCTTCATATTAGAGATATAGTGATTTTCCCCTTTTATTCTTAGTAAAACAGAACACAGAATTTCAGTGAATAAGTATTGCTGACTAGTCTCCTGAATTTCCCACAGAAAGCTTGTGTTTCACTTAGAGGAACAAAACTGGCACATCTATATGTGTGTGTTTATTCTTTCATGGAGTTACTGTGATTATAACAAAATTTAAACTCAAAGACTTCACGGTAGCTAGATTTGCACTCTCCCATTTGAGCCAAACCTCCAGCCTTCCCATATAGTAAATATATTTTAACAGAAAACTGAAATCAAAAGAAGATATATAATCTAACTTCCTAATTTTTACTTGTAGGAGTTCCATCTGGAATATGACAAATTAGAAGAACGGCCTCACCTGCCATCCACCTTCAACTACAACCCTGCTCAGCAAGCCTTCTAAAAAGACTTCCCTTTTCTTAGGGTATGGCTGTCTCAGCACAATACTCAACATAACTGCAGAACTGATGTGGCTCAGGCACCCTGGTTTTAATTCCTTGAGGATCTGGCAATTGGCTTACGCAGAGGGTCACCATTTGAGGTCCTGCCTTACTAATTATGTGCTGCCCAACAACTAAATTTATAATTTGTTTTCTCTAGTTTGAGCAGGGTCTGAATTTCTTCATTTCTTTTTTTCTTTTTTTTTTTTTTTTTTTTTGCCAGCAGACATACTTGGGTCTGTAAAGACAAGCAAGTACACTGACAGAAGTTTACCATTTAGTTTCTTAAATGTAAAAAAGAAAACCCACAAAAGACTCAACAAAATTAGACCACAAAATTTGCATTGTTCATTGTAGCACTATTGGTAATAAAATAACAAATGTTTGTGCATTTTTATGTGAAGATCCTTCTCGTATTTCATTTGGAAAGATGAGCAAGGTCTGCTTCCTTCATTTTACTTCCCCTTCTGTTTTTGAAAGGCAGTTTCGCCAAGCTTAATGCAAGAATATCTGACTGTTTAGAAGAAAGATATTGCCACAATCTCTGGATGGTTTCCAGGGTTGTGTTATTACTGAGCTTCATCTTTCCAGAATGAGCAAAACACTGTCCAGTCTTTGTTACGATTTTGTAATAAATGTGTACATTTTTTTTAAATTTTTGGACATCACATGAATAAAGGTATGTATGTACGAATGTGTATATATTATATATATGACATCTATTTTGGAAAATGTTTGCCCTGCTGTACCTCATTTTTAGGAGGTGTGCATGGATGCAATATATGAAAATGGGACATTCTGGAACTGCTGGTCAGGGGACTTTGTCGCCCTGTGCACTAAAGGGCCAGATTTTCAGCAGCCAAGGACATCCATACCCAAGTGAATGTGATGGGACTTGAAGAAGTGAACTGAGACAATTCACTCTGGCTGTTTGAACAGCAGCGTTTCATAGGAAGAGAAAAAGATCAATCTTGTATTTTCTGACCACATAAAGGCTTCTTCTCTTTGTAATAAAGTAGAAAAGCTCTCCTCATTGCAGTGTTGACTTTGATTTGAAATTATGAAATTATTTCTTCAACATGAGAAATAGGGTATGAAAATACTGAAGTTTTACAAATACCAGACTAAATGGTCATATTGTAAAGGTTTTCATTTCAGCTTTCATCAAGTAATCTAATGGAACCGTAGTGGGCCATTTTACTTGTTGGTTAAAAATCCAGTCACTCAAAGTGTTAACAAAAGAAAACTTCTCTTAAATAATAGCATTACAAGCAAAACATCTCATTGAACACTCTGGGACCCAAACAAAATGCTTTGCTTTCATCAGAAATTTATGAGAAATTTCTTGATAGACCTTTTGAGATTTATTTTATTTTGTCAGTTGTGGGGCTTGAACTCTGTCTGGGCCTGGGCGCTGTCCCTCAGCTCTTCAGCTCAAGGCTAGCAATCTACCATTTGAGCCACAGTACCACTTTCAGCTTTTTCTGTGGTGCTAAGGAATCGAACCCAGGGCCTCATGCATGCAAGGCAGGCACTCTACCGCTGAGCCACCTTCCCACCTACCTTTTGAGATTTTTATCTTTATGAATTTATATATGAATTAAAGTAAGATAAAGTGACTCCACCTTCAGGTTGTTAGCAAACCTTTGGTTTGTCTCATATATACTAGTTAGTGGATTTTCACATCTAAATACAAACACTCTATTTTACAATATCTGAAGACAAGCTACCAAAGCAGAATTAGAGATAATAGAAAGGATATGAGTTTCTGCTTTTCACTTTTTCTATAGGAGTAAATGTTTTGGATATTTACCAAATCATGTTTAAACATTAAATATTTATGTCATTGCTGTTTGTGTATCAGAAATGTGAAATGACTCAAAACTTCTTTTCATATGTATTTTGAAGTACTAGAAAGTAATTAAAATATCAAGATTTTGGAATCTTTCAGAATGAAACCAAAGCATCTCAGTCGGAAAGATAGCACTTAGTAATTATAGACCACTACAGAACACTAACATACTTGACATATATTGAAGTCAAATTAATACAAATCAGTTTACTTATTTAACAGAATTAAAGATGACATCGCATAATAATTGACTTGGTAAAATGTAACTTCTATATAATCATAAAAAGTAGATGGGAAGAAAAAAATCAGTGTAAGGACATCTTTACTCTTTACAAACATGATATAAAATTTTAACTGAAGCATGATTGCTACTGTATGACTGGCTCAGGAAAAGAAGATAGCTCATTTCCAGTAATTTTGTTGGGTTTAGTTTTTTTCTTTTGACTGCCATAAACATTTTACGAATGTTTTACAATTTTCTGAGTTCTTTTATCCTGAATCATTAAAATTAGGAAACTAACTTTTATAACTATCAGAAATTTAGACATTCTTATTTCAACACTTAAAATGCTACATTAAACTCTAACTAAATGCTATTACATGCCTTGATTTTATAATGTCACACATATACAAAAATTGACCTAACCTATATACTTCACATTTTCTTTCTTAGATTTAATTCTATTCATTTTTCCAGAGATAGCAAGTGAAACATGTACAAAAACTAAATTACAAAAAGAGAGTTGTAATCTAATTGATTGCAAACATCTGTCATCTTTGAAGTGGTACTACAATCCATATAATAATCCATTTTCAAGGGTTTTACACAGACATTGTTTCCTGAGATATAATAAACTTTAAGACCTGAAAGTTTAAATTCTTAACATTTAAAACCATTTATACAAACGGTTCATAAAACCATTTATCTTGCTTATCCCTTTTGCCACTGAAACTGGGACACAGCTGGTAGCTGGTAATACTTGATGACTGGATTTGATATCAAATTCAAGCAATGGACTTACTATCTTTTGCTGTAATTTCATTTTTACAAGAATCTTTTAAAGCATCTTTCAGTTAGCCTAATAATTTCAGGGTTTTTTCTAAGAGTTGATCCCTCCTGAATCCTCTTTGTTTGCAAACCATAGGTTTTTTTCATTCACACATATCCATTGCCCATTAAATATGAAGCAGTTGAGCTTGGCTGTGAAAGTAGACATATTCCATTTGACTTCAGTTTGTATTAATACCATCAAGTTTTTGCAAGTAAAAGTTCAAGTATTTCAGAAAGAACAGTTGCCCAAATGTCTCCACAGTCAAGGAGTATGTGGAAATGGATGTCTGCCTTTAAAACTTTCTTAAGCATTGTTTGTATTTTATACAGCAATTTTTAGTAACATTTCAATAAGATCATCTCTAGGGTATAGGGAATAACCCTAGAGTGCTTGCTGCCTAGCAAGTGTGAGTACCTGGGTTTAATAATCCTAAGTACCACAAAAAGGACAGAAGGAAGGGAAGAAGAAAGGGAAAAGGGGAGGAGGAGAAAAAGGGGATGCCATCAGGGCTAAAGAGGAGAAAGGGGGAAAAGTCATTGAAATACCTTTACTTTGTAAAAGCCAGGTCCTAAGAGCATAGCATAGGCTCTCCTTGCTGCTGGCATTACCAGTGAATTAGATCATACTATGAAGACATGACAGATCTGGGAGATAAAGTACATAAACACATTAAAAGTCAAAATAGGGATGCAAATTAACTCAGCAGTTCAATATGTTATGCAATTACTTGTAACAAAAAAGAAAATCAACTGAAGAATTACTAACATAAATAACATCTGAGGATATAAACATTATCAAGTATGTGACAATAGTAAAAATTTTCATAAGTAGCTGAAGAGATGTGACGTGAAACATTCATTTTAGTAAATACATTTAACAGCTTTTGATAAAGTCAAATATGTGTGACTAATCCATCTACTCCTATTTACCAAAGAAAAGTTGAAAATGTGTTTACAAAGGGAAATGTGCAACAATATTTACAAAAGCCATTTTCATAACACTTAAGTAGAAACAGCCCAAATATTCTTCAATTGAAGAATGAATAATCAAATTGCAGTATGCTTATATAACTATTATTGAACAGTAAAGAATAAACTAGTGGTAATTGAAAAACATGGCTGAATCTCAAGGGAAATTACTAGCAGTTCAGTATGTTAAGTTGAATCAAATAGGATGTACATTGGATCCAGATAATCATTTAGGTTTACAGATTGGACTGTAAAAGAATAAAGAATGGTTTCAAGGTGGTTGATAAATAGATGATGAGTATAAATTGTGATTCTGTTGCCACAAGTACTAACATAACCTGCTCAGATATTTAGTGCTCAGATCAAGCTAACCCCTGTGTCTTTGGGATAGTCATCACATACCTGAAACATCAGACCCAATTTGAAAACTGTATCTTTGGAAAGTAGTTTTAAACAGATTACAGATGGCAATTTTATTCAACTTAACCTGTTTTTCCTCTTTTTTTGATGTTAGGAACAGGAATGTGAAACATTAATAAAGCAGCAAATAATGTTTAACAGGATACATGTATTGTGTACTTTAGTTCTGCATTCAGAGCTGGGAAATGACAGTTTTTGTTAAATGTGAGGTGAGTGTTTAGCCTGAAATTTTATACTGTTACTGTGCAGTCTGCTTTGTGCTAAAGCTGATCACATAAATTGAGTAATATTCCTCTTAGCAGTCATTTGGTATAGAAACAGCTCAGTTTATATTGAAATAACTTTCAGGAAACTACAACTACTTAATATTTTTTAATAAAACAACTTACCCTCTAGTTATATAATTCTCAGAACTAATATGCCTGAGGAGAATCTGTGGGGGTGTTAATCTCCTTTTTAGACCCTAACTTCAGAAATTTGGGTGTCTATTGGTGTTTTGTTCTGGTCCTAGGGCTTGAGCTCAGGACCTGGGTGCTTTTCCTGAGCTTTTTTTTTTTTTTTTTTTGCTCAGGATTAGTGTCACAGCTTTGCTTCCAGCTTTTTGGTAGTTAATTATAGCTAAAGAGTCTTACAGATTTTGCTGCCCTGGCTGGCTTCAAACTGATCCTCAGATCCCAGCCTTCTAACTAACAGGTATGATCCACCAGTAGCTGTCTAAACAGACACTTTTTGAAAGTCAAGGAAGAAGTCAGGAACATACCACAAATACCACAAATCATCTTTGAAGCTATTGAATTTCATATACTGCATTTTGTCTATTGTACTAACTACAGAAAAATCTTAAGATTCTGATTAAATCCCACCAAGTTAACCTTGGAATAATTTCTGTGTGCTGGGTTGCATTTGTTTGCTTTTTCCTGTAACATCCATTTTTCTAATTCAGGGACCCTGTTATTATACTAGCCTTTATTAGCATAACAGGAGTAACGCTGAGTCTATCACCAAGCATAAAACAGTGATTATTTTTGCTGGGTTTTAGATTCCCAATCCAGTTTGCATTCATAAAAACTACTAATGGAAATTATATACATTACCAATACATCTAGTAATTGGAAGCTTTTAAAATCCATTATCTAGCTGTGGAAATTCTAAGACTTGTCAAGTTTTAATACTTTTATCTCCTTAACAATTAGGACTCTCAGGATTCAGTGGGCTCAGTAAGAAAGTTATGTGTGTAGCCTAGCTTTCTGTCAAATATTTGACTTACTGAAAATGTCACAAAATTCATAATGGTTGTATTATCTTAATTTTGTATCTTAAAAACTCAAACCTTGAAAAGGGATCACAAGTTGGCACATGCTTAAACACTAGCTAACGAACTACTTACTAGATCTCAAATCTCCTGAGCAGGTGTGTTTATGAAAGGTGCTTGCAATGTTCAAAGTATACTCAGGTTGGATGTTTTATGCCTGTAATCCTAGCCACTCAGAAGGCTGAGATGTGAGGGTTGCAGTTTGAAGCTTGCCATGGCAGGAAATTCTGTGAGACTTGCCTACAATTAACCACCAAAGAGGTAGAAGTAGAGCTGTGGCTTAACTGGTAAAGCCCTAACCTTGAGCAATAAAAAGCTCAGGGACAGCATCCTGTCCCTGAATTCAAACCCTAGGATGCACATACACACAAAAAGTCTACTCAGGACCATCCAAGAGGCAGACTCACTGTCCAGGTTCGAGGAGGTTTAGTGAAATACAGTTGACTTGCAGACCATGGTGTACTGGCCTAGGTACATTAAAGATTTATTATAGTATTTTGTGACTAGAGTGGGCTTCCATAAGCTGGTCTCCTTTAAGTTGGAAAGTTTATTCATAATGTTCTATCTCAGAGAACATGTAATCTCATCTTCCATTTTTAAGTTTCCTTTTGCATTTTCCAAGTGCTCTAGCTTCTATCATTCTCCCTTCAAGGACTGCAATCTTTGAGAAATGGGAAGTCCAAATCAGTCTTTGGCTACTTCCTGCTGGTTTGGGACATAAGAGTAGGTCAGGAATCTCTTGCCTTGCTGTATTGGTTGAGACATCTGGGATCCCAGGTTATGGGTAACAAGGAGGGCCCCTGTAAAAGGTAGATGTGTTGAAGGGGGAGTCATTCTGTGGAAACAGAACAGGGTGGGACTAGTGGAAAAAAAGCAATGAACAGCAGCAGAGTAAGACTTCCCCACTGATGGTTTGACATCTTGTTAGAAAAGGTGAAATAGGACTATGTAGTCAGAGTTTTAGTTCATTAATAATTAAGGATATTAGCTGATGAAAACAATTCAATGTGAATAAGAACTGGTCTCTAGCTGGGTGCCTTTGGCTCATGCCTGTAATCCTAACTACTCAAGAGGCTGAGAACTGAGGATCATGGTTTGAAGTCACCCCAAGCAGGAAAGTCTGGGAAACTTCTCTCCAATTAATTACCAAAAAGCCAGAAGTGGGGCTGTGGTTCAAGTGGTAGAGTGCTAGCCTTGAGCATAAAAATCAAGAGGATAGCTCTTAGTGCAAGCCAAGGACAGGCACCATCCCCCCTCTACACCCCCCCCCCCCAAAAAAAAAAACCCTAGCCTCTAATTTCCCAAAAGAATTACATGAAATGAAATGTAATGCTTGGTAACTCACATTTGCCTTTGACCTAAGTAAGATTTACCACATAATTTTTCTTCTGCAGTGCACACTGAATATAATTTCAAGAATAATGTTTAAAAGTTCTTTGAATATTTTGGGAGCTATGCTTCAAATTTTAAGGGTTGTATGATGTTTACAAGTGACTGAGTTGGCTTCATTCTTTTAGAAATCAGTTCTCGATATTTATAATAGAAAAACTTTTAAAACTATCTTCAAGATTAGACATCTCAACAACAAAACATTACATGAAGGAATGACATAGTTTCATCTTATGTATAAAAATAAAGATTTGGGGCAGCCAGAATGTTTCAAAGCTACCTTCAAATCTGATACATACTGAACATTTATTTTAAGATGTGGCTTTAATTACCATATGTAGCTGCATGGAAAGTGGGCTGTCTTTTGAGTTGTGTTAAATATTTCCCTTCCTGAGACACTTTTTACTTTGTTTACTGTCTTTAAATAATATTCCTCAAATATATTTCATACTTACATCTATTTCATAAAATTTTAGCCTTGCTTTTTAATAGACATGTTAAAATGTTCAAAATAAGATTACCTGATTTTCTTTTCATCTGCAGTTTTGTCTTTTTTTTTTTTTATCAGTTTCTGTCAGTAGTTTAAAATTTTAAATTAAAAAAGGTAAATTAATTGACTTGTGAAAAACTATTTGGCATACAAATTAAAGCCAATGAAGATGAGAAAAATATTGCCCTGGCTTCTCTTCATTTGCAATGAAATTTTTGAGTTACAAAGTCCATTATCCTGAAAGTGTTTGTTATATTGAGTAGCAGGAAAAGAAAGATACAGGCCTAAGTTTTAAAGAACATTAAGTGGGTATCCTTTGCAAATTCCAGTTAACCTTTTTTTCTGTTGTTTGTTTTTTCTTTGTGGGGGTTGTGGGGAGGTTAGGGCACTACCTTAATTTCTTTAACTTATCAGAAGAGAATACTGGAGAAACATAAGAAAAGCTTAGGAGGGACATGAGGGCCATCTTCCCATATCTAAAATGGAGTCTTTTGTAAGGTTTTATCCTTTACAAGTTTCTTTATCTTATATAACATGACAGCATAGAATAAGGGCCACTAATTAAACCATAAATTGCATCATTAAGGCAAATATCAATGTATAATAGTTACCACTTCATAATTTTAAGCACCCCGCCCAAAATAAATAAACGGGTTTACACATTAGGAGTTAATAGTTTTCTATCACTGGAAGTATCCAAGCAAAGGCTTAGAAAAGCTCTGGGCCAATTTTGTCCATAAAGATAGAATTCTTATACCCCTATGTCATTTGATGAGGTATGTTAACTGTATGTTACTACTTTCAATCCAGTTTAAAATGGATAACAAGCCACTAGAAAACTAAATACTTTGGTTTAATCTTTCTGTCTTCCACAGATCAGTACTACTTATTTACTATGCATCTGAACAAGAGCTGTTTTCAACACAAATATGATTCATTGTAAAAATTAAAATGCAGGACCATTATTAAATCATTAGTCCCAATATGTTGTACCTACTGTCCCCTTCATAAACTTCACAGTACAGATTCTGACCAAACCTAACTATCCTTGAATATAAGTATAGACATACGTTAGGAGTTCATTTGCAAATGCTTTTGCCATTATACTGCTTTTATTACTAAATATAGATATTTGTTATTAATCTTAGAACAGTAGAAAATATATGAGGACTTGCAATCTCATGTGGTTTCAACTCATAAACGCGCTTTTACTTTTGGGTAATGCAACCCTAACAATTACCTTTATGCTAGCAGAAAAAGAAGCAATGTAATTCCTAAGTAAAATAATTTTTTATAAATTATTTTATAATTTATAAAATAAATAAAGACCAGCACCCGGTCTTCCCCGGGGTGCTGGAGGCTCACACCTTTGATACTGACTACCAAGGAAGCTAAGATCTGAGGATCCTGGTTCCAAGCTTGTCAAGAAAAAAAAAAAAACCAAACACTTCAATTAACTAGCAAAAAGCTAGACGTGGAGGTGTGGTTCAAGTGATAGAGTACCAGCTTCAAACAACAACAAAAAAAAATACCCAAGTCCCCTGAGGCCCTAAAATCAAGCCCTGTACTGGCACAAAGTGAGAGGAGAAAGTAGAGAGGAAGGAGGAAAGAAAAGGTAAGTCTTCTGTCAGAACTTTAAACACAAAGAATATAGAATCTTGATTTGGAAGTTTTCCAAACCTGCAGCATCTTAATGTATTCAGAAAAACACAAAAATGGCTTCAGGGCCGCTGCTGCGTGTTGTGATTAAGCTAAGTTTGCCCCTTGCTTGTTAAAATTTAAACCTAACACATGAAAAACTTTAGTACTTAAAAATAACGCATCCATTATAGTGGAAAGTCAACGCAAGCTAACGACATCTAGGAAAAATAAGACAAGCATGATTCCGATTTAATATTCGTCAGGAACATTGAGTTTATTTGGGAGTTGCACTAGAAAAATATGTCTTCGTATATTTTGAGAAGTGCGCCTTCTGACTTCAGTCTTCAAAGCGTGGCTTGCAGTAGTTCTCAAGTTTGATGTCAGAAATGTGGTAAAAGGCCATTTTAACTTACCCCCCAAAAGGGGAGGGGGGTATCAAATAAGAATAAAGGCTCAGGTTTGTCACCATCAGGGTAAATAAGGGAGGGAAGAAACGACGGATGAAAGAAAAACGCTTCTCTAAAAATGGTACCTGTGCCCAAGGTGGTCTGCAAGCCGCTGTCACTTTGCCTGGCGCTCCTAAGAACGCTCAGGTACAAATTCCAAGGGTGGCAAGGTTCTCCTAGGAACAAAAATAGCATTTGTTCTCGGGACGCCTGAGAACAGTCAGGATGGGGAAAGTTGTGTCTCTCCCGAGCTGCAAGCCTCTCCACCGCTTTCTTTCAGCCCAAATCTAGGCGAGGTCGACTGCCAGAGAGACACCCAAGTTTCCCATGACGGTCTCCGAAGACCCAGGCAGCTGGATGCCTTGTGGTGTGCAAGTCGCCAGATCCTGTCCTCACCGCTCCATGCTTCCACAAGCCAACTGCACCGGACTCCGCTGCGCCTACGGGGCCCAGCCGGCGCCGCCGGCGCCGTGCGCGCGCGCTCCGCCGTGGCGAGGCTCGGGACCTAGCGGTGACGGCGCCCCGCTGAGGCGCCGCGTGGGCGCGGCTGGGTCACGCCTCCCATCCGGGCGGTGCACCCGCCGGGGGAGCGTGGGTACCCGCGGGGACCTCCCGGGAGCGTCCCCTCGTGTCGCCCTAGCCGTCCTGCCAGGCGCCGACGCCCTTCCTCCGACCCGTCCTCCGGTGCCCGCTTCCCGGGAGCGCCCGTTGCTCGGCCACCGGCCCGCCCTCCAAGTAGGCTGACCAATACCAGGGTGGAGTTCAAGACGGCCGCCGCGCCACGTGCTTCGCACCTCGGGTCGCTTTCGCTCGGGTACGCTGGGTCGATCTGAAGCCTTCACCTCCCATTCCAAGAACTAGTTGCCGCCGCTCCCGCTGCCTACCCACCCGGAGACTCCCCCGGGCGGGGTGGGGCGGGGCGGGGCGGAACGGGGCGGGGCGGGAGGCCCCGGGTCACGGGCGCTGGGGGCGGGGCCGAGCCGCCTCCCGCACGGGGGAGCCCCGGGGCTCGCCCCAGCCCAGCTGCTCGTACCCTCGGGGCGGGCGCTCCGCGAGTCCGCGGAGGAGCGGCTGGCTGGCGATGGAGCCCCTGGGACGGGCGGCGCGTGGAGGCGGGGTTGGGGAGGCGGGGAGAGCGCGGGGGCGGAGGCTGGCCGGGGGCGTCGGAGGCTGGAGCGCTCGGTGCGCTCCGTGCGCCCCAGGGTGCAGGAGGCTCTGAAGCGGCGGCTGCGCTGGGGACTTGGGGTGGCGACTGGGGAGGGGGGGCGCTGCCGCCGCCCGGGGGCGTCGCCGGCCTCGGCCCCTTTGTTCTCGCGCGCTCCCCCTCGCCGCCCACTCCCCTGCTGTCGCGCGGCGGCGGCGGCGGCGGCGGCGGCGGCGGCGGCGGCTCCTCCCGCCCGAAGCAGTCGGGCTGAGCGCCGGGGGCGGGGTGGGGGGCGGGGGGAGCGCGCCAGCCGCCGTGAGTGGGGGGCGATGGCGAAGCTCCGGGTGGCTTACGAGTACACGGAAGCCGAGGACAAGAGCATCCGGCTCGGGTTATTTCTCATCATCTCCGGCGTCGTGTCGCTCTTCATCTTTGGCTTCTGCTGGCTCAGTCCCGCGCTGCAGGATCTGCAAGCCACGGCGGCCAACTGCACCGTGCTGTCGGTGCAGCAGATCGGCGAGGTGTTCGAGTGCACCTTCACCTGTGGCGCCGACTGCAGGGGCACCTCGCAGTACCCCTGCGTCCAGGTCTACGTGAACAACTCGGAGTCGAACTCCAGGGCGCTGCTGCACAGCGACGAGCACCAGCTCCTCACCAACCCCAAGGTAAGGACGCCCCGCGCGCGCGCGCGCGCGCTCCCTGGCTCGCGCTCCGAGGCTCCCGCGAGGGACGCCTCGCTCCTGCCGAGCTCTGGAGGCAAATTTGGGGGAGCTTCAGGGTTAGCCCTGGTCGGATGCCGCGGTTGCTAAGAGGAGTCGGGCATCGCGCGGGCTGCACTCCAGCCAGGAATGAGTGCCCCGGGCGGGGCACCGCTCACTTGGTTCCTTCGGGTGCGCCTCTCCTTATCATTGCCTATCTTGTCTGATCTCGGATTTTCAGGCCCAGCCGCAGGTCCAGCGTCTCCAGGACTGGGTTTAGACAGATGCCAGAAGCTGAGAGAAAGTTAACTTTCAGTTGGATTGAAGCCCTGAGACTAAATTAGGGATCCACCTACTACTGCATATGGTCAGTCCAGGTCCGAGTTTCTGACCGCCTGGACAGAGTGATGGAATGACCTTGCTTGGGAGGTCGAAAGGGTCTGTGACCATAGGTCATCGGAAGTCAGAACTCCTAGCCTTTTACCTCTAAGTAGACGTGTTTGATTTGAGGTCTAAAGATAAGCCTATGGGGTGGGGTGGGGTGGGGTGGGGAAGACACCAGCCTGGAATCAGATGAGAAATTCAGTGCTGGTGGTGGCGTGGGGGTGGGGAAGTGGGGGACCTAAAGGCAGAAGGATCTTAGAGGACATTCTGTGACCTGGGGACAACCAGGAGCCTTCTAGACAACAGTGAAACTTACTGAAATAGAAAAGTGCCGGTGAAATGCACGAAAACAGTCGTTTCGTGACAACTTTTGCTATCACAAGCAAGAGAGAAAATGAAAAAAAAAACAAAAAACAGATGAAACCTGGTTAGAACTCGCAGGCTGGAGAGCAAAGAGGGAGACTCAGAAAACTATTCCCAGTGGAGCAAAGCACTTATAAAAAGCAGTGTCCTCGCTCCTTGCACTAATTGAAGCTTTGTAGCGCACCTGCTTCTGCAAGCAAGGTTTTTGTTCCTTTGCATTTTCCTACTATGTTTGTCCCTTAACTGTCAAAGTAAAGATGTGTGTGTGTGTGTGTGTGTGTGTGTGTATATATAAATATATATATATATATTAATGTTACAGTTCCTTTTCTCTTTGAAGACCAAGCTGGAAAACAGTACAAAAAAAGGAGAGTTTTGTGTACACAAGAAAACTCCCGATTAAATGCCACAAAATGCATTTATATTAATCCAAAGGGGGAAAATCTGAATAACTATTTTTGAAGTATTTAAAATAAGCGTGCTAGTCCTCTACAGTAAAACTTGTACTTTTGTCTCCTAAACAGAACATTTCTTGAGTCTGGAAATTAAAAGTAATTACATTTTAGGGTTGGAGGTGTGGATCAACAGTGGAGTGCCTACCTAGCAAGCCCTGAGTTCAATCTCCAGTACGACAAATAATAATAAGTCTGAAAACTATGACTTCTTACAAAAAAAGTCCCTGCCAACAAATAAAGATTTGTCTTTCAAAAGAAGGTCATATAAAGGTAGTAAATATGAGAAGAAGGATTTAGAAACAATTTTTGTTTTGTCGGTTGGGGGCTTGAATTCAACACCTCCTCACTATCCCTGAGCTCTTTTGTTCAAGGCTAGCACTCAACCACTTTGAACCACAGCTCTGCTTCCAGGTTTTGGTAGTTAATTGGAGATAAGAGACACCAGAGACATAAGAGAAAACCAGCTTTGAACTGTGATCCACAGATCTCAGCTTCCTGAGTAGCTAGGATTACAGGCCTGAGCCACCAGTGCTGGGCTCTAGAAACAAATTAAAATATAATGTTCAAACTCTTTAGCAGAGTGATAATGTCTCCAAGACAAATGTTGTAAATTAATCTTCTTAAGCCTTAGAAATTTAAAAAGAAATGTTAGGGCTTTATAAACATTTTCATGATTTATCAAAAAAGATTGTTATGCACTAGTAATGATTTTAAAATTACATAGTTTCATCATTTAAGAGATATTATAGTTGGCAAAACATTACTAAATATTTTAAAATAATTATTTTATAAATATACAGTTATAAGTAGATGGTTTTTACCTAAATCAAGGCATTGGTGAATTTAGTAAAAGAAAATTTAGTAAAAGAAAATTTCCTCAGAATTTCTAAGCATTGGGGGGATCTGGCAGAGAAAATAAATTGGAATCATCAAGATATTGATTTTTAAATTACTTGGAAGCAATTATCATGATGTTTTATGTAATACTAAGATTCTCTCTCTTCTTCACTCATAATCTGTTTTTTTTTTCTCGATGCCAATGCAGAACTTGGCAATCGTTGTTTTGAAGAAGTCCTTGAACAATTGGTGTTCTATAAAGTGAAACATTTAGGAAATGACAGAACTGGAAAATGGTACATTTATGCTACAGAAAGTGATCCATCAATTTAGGCATAATTCTCCCAGCCAAACCAATATACCTCTCTTTATTCAGATTGGGATGTTTTACAGCATTTATAGGACATAAATTTGTTCTTTCCCATCATCTTTCTATTTTTTATCAATTAAGTGTTCAATCTGGAAACTTTTGAAAATGGTAATGGAAAATTTTGGTGCAGCCAAAACATTGTGGCAGAGTCAAGTGTATAAGTATATTAAATTCTCATAGTGCCCTTGCAATTACAGTCCCCGTGGCCATTCCTGTTGCATCTTGGCTGCAAAGGTCTTTTCTGTGCTTCACCTTACACCATTTCTGATTGAAGGTCTAGTTTTCCCACTTCTTCCTTTAGCATCACGAATTATAACAACTTTTACTTTCTTCAGAACCCACCATAAGAAACCACTTAGGAAAAATAGAACAAGCACGTTTTCCTCCTCCCTTGAGTTTGCTGCATTAATTACAGTAAAAGGAAAAGAAGGGAAAGATTATTACAAATACCTAACTTGTTAAGCCCTACTTGTTAAGACTATTGAAGATACCGATCTTTGGCTAATAACTTTTAACTTTTATTTCTGAATCCTATTCTGTTTATTTAAGTTTTGCATCCCATTCTAATTGTTGAAAGCAATCACTGGATATAGTTGTATGAAGTATTATACAAGTCAACAAATTATTTGGTTAGGGAAGTGATCAGTTCTAGGGATTAGTCGAGCAAAATCTGAATTTTGAATCAGCTTCCCCTTCCTACGATTCTCTTTGTAACTTATGGGAGTGCATATTTAGAGGTTTGGGCCTCAATTATGGCTGTACCTGGACCTTATCTGGGAAGTTCTACAAGTGATTCTAATATGTATGCAAGACATGACCATCTCTGTCTTAGAATATGTCCTTGTGTACTGTGTAAGAAAAACAACATTAGAGCCAAAAAGAATTTGTTGTGGTTAATGACTGTACTTTGGAAAGATGTCAATACTACTCAATAAAAGATTCTGGTATAAAAAGAATTACTTGAGGGCATTGTAGGAAAAAAAAGATAATTGAACTGAATTTATCAAATTCCAGATGCTTGTTTTTGCATATATATGTCTGTCTATCTATCTATCTATCTAGCTAGCTAGCTAGCTAGCTAGCTATCTGTATATGAATGATGAGTTCTAAACACTTTCTCGTATGTGGAACAGGAGCAGGTGGTTAGAGACTACTTAATTTTTGTTTTGAATGTGTTTTTCTTCCTCTGGTAATAAAAACTTAGAAAGAAAGTTTCTAAGAAACTAGTATTCTACAAGTGAGCAAAGTTTATCGGAGAGAAGAAAGCTTAAATAGGACTAGGAAAAAACTATGGGCTTTACATGTGCTTCTGAACTGGATGTACTTACAGAGGAGGTACTCTGTGACTTATAATCATTATGCTGGTGGTACCCTTCAAACTCACTCAGCTCACCCCACCCTACATACAACTGAAGCGTGCTGATTTCTGACACCTTTGAAATGCAAGTTCAATTTGATATGCACTGTGCTCTGGGATGTCCTTTACATCAGAATCACAAATAACAAGCCAAGCTGAGTTATCACTACTCTCTGAAGTCTTTGTGTCTCCATGGAAAAGTAGCTTTCCTTGACTACTTTTTCTCTGGTGGTTATATTAAACAATACCTAGTATGTACATAAAATTCAGTTGAGCAAATAATTGCTTCCTATTTCTTATAATCAAAGAACTGGGCAAGAAACTAGAAGTAATTCATTCAACAAGACACAGCTCAGTGCTGTATCTGCTTCGTGGTCTCCTGTTACAGCTTGTATTTTTTCAGAGGATAACAAATAAGAATTACATTTTTTATTTCTTTAATTTTTATTTTTTTGGTTGGTCATGGGGCCTGAACTCTGGGCCTAGGTACTCTCCCTCAGCTCTTCAGCTCAAGGTTAGCACTCTGCACTTGAGCCACAGTGCCTTGTCTGGCTTTTTCTGCTTATGTGTTGATGAGGAATCGAACCCAGGGCCTCATGCATGTGAGGCAAGCACTCTACCACTGAGCCACCTGCCCAGCCCAAGAAATACATTTATAATGTAATGTCATAGCATAATATGTGGGTAAAGGAAATTCATGTAGAGTAAGAGCATTCAGGGGGAAGCAAAGCACTTCTCTTTGGTCAGGATGCCCAGGGAAGGTGGATATGAAGTGATATTTACCTTTATGACATTTATCTAAGATAGTAATTCAGAGACTGAATAAGATAAAAAATAGATATTCAGAGGCTGAAAGGACTTTTAAAACAATGAATTGTGTGGAGAAAGAGGAGTCCACAGACTCCACCAAAAGCAAACAAAAAGACACTGAGATTGTCAGGTCTGTCTTTTATCGGTGAGTTGGGCCACAGTGAGCAAGACGCAGAACACTGAGAGGTAAGACTAGCTATAGTAATAAATGAGTTCAGTAAAATGGCAAGATAGAAGATATAAGCCCAATGTACAAAAATAAATTATAATTTTAGACACTAGCAATTCAAAGCCATCCCAAGATGAAATTATGAGGAGTTCCATTTACAATAGTCTTGACAAAACACTCTGGAATAAAGTTCACAAAGTCAAATAATGCAAGCACTCTACA